TTGTACATATTTATTTTGTACATAGAGGGGTAGTTAGGCTTAGGCTTAGGGCTGGGGTCAGAGTTAGGCTTGGATGGGCATTTTAGATAGTTGGCTAGTTCAGAGAGGAAGGTGGGATTTTTTTTTCCTGGACGAAATGGGCAGGCTGTAAGTAGGATTCCTTCCCTTGGTCATGGTCTCCTGGGGGGGGGTGAGTCCTGGGTCCCCTGCACAGTCTTGGCTCTCTGGAAATTGACCCGGCCCGACTTCTCCAGAGAGCTCAGCTCCTCCACACTCTTTCCCTGCCTTCCCCATTTCTTCCCTGCTTTTATTAGGACATTCCTAGCCCACTTTCTTCCCAGGAGCTCAAAGTGGCCTTCATGGTTCTCCCTGCCACCAATTTTTATCTTCTCAGCAGCCCTGCCAAGCAGGCCAGGCTGGCCCAAGGTCCACCAGGGAGCTTCATGGCTGAGTGGGGATTCGAACCCTGCTCTCCCATGCGTTCCTCCTAGCTCCAGCCTCTTCCCACCAGGTGCACTCTGCCTGGCTCCCTCTTAGCATCCCTCTCCAGCTGGCCCAACGCCATCCGGCCTTCCCCTCCCCCTTCAATGGGGCCTCACTGGTTACCAAGGAAGGACTCCACCCACCTTCCTCTCCTCAGCCCCCCCACACAGACACAAACACCCCCACCCCATTGGGGCCTCCTGAATCGCTGCTCTCCCGCCCTGCTCCTCTCTTCTAGGTTCAGGTGGTTCAGGGCCCTGTCAGCTTCTGGCGAAGGAACACACAACTTTCCAGGCCGTCCTAGAGCCAAGCCTGGAGTTTGAGGTCAGAGGTGCCCTCCTGATGCCCCGGAAGGACCTGACTTTCCTCTCTGCTCTCTTCCAGGACATCCTGGGGCACCTGGGGTGTTTTGGACAAGCGCCCCATAGTCCAAACTTCTCCTCCGACCCTCTTCAGTTCAATAGTCCACAGGGATGTTTCAGGCACCCCTGGAGATGAAACGCAGGTGAACAGGAAGGTTTGTAACTGTTGGTCTTGACTTCTCTTGACATGGCTCTTTCTTCTTCCTCTTCACACACTTCCACAACTGCACTCAGGACTCAAAATCTCTTCTCTCTTTCCCTCTTTCCCTGCTGGCTTGAACATGGGCGTCTGTTCTGACAAAGACTCCCAATGCTCCACACCTCCTCCTCCTGCTTAACGTAAGTGTCTGGATGGCATCAGAGATGGGAAAGGAAAGCCAGGGACTCTGTGGTGGGGGCAGTGGAGGGCCGCATTGGCCCAGGCTGGCCCCTGACTCTGAGATGCTCTTTCCTCCCGCAGGAAAGTGGGGAGGAACAGAAACTAGTGGCCAACAGCATCTCTACTTAGCTGGCCTTTGCCCGAAGTTGCCCCATCTCAGAGCAAGTAGCTCTCCCTCGTGGATTCAGTCCTTTCATCACTTCCATCTCCCCAAGAGGCTCCCAAGGCTACTCATCCTCTGCAGTTGAGAACAGACCTAACTGAAAAAAGGGCTTTCTCTTCTGGTGACACCAGAGAATTCTAGAAGACATTCACCCTTTCCATAGCATTATGGATGCACGACAGTTCTTTAGTTGGAATCTCCTTTCTCGCAAGTCTTTTGGGTCCTTGTCTCCAGAGCAGGAGCAGGTGCAAGCTTCTTGCAACTTCCATGTGGGAGCCCTTCAGGTATTTGAAGACGGCTCTCAAGTCATGTCTCCGTCTCCCCTTCTCCAGGCTAAACATCCCCCAACTGTGAAATCCACTTAAAAAATAATAATAATATGGCCTTTTTGCAGTTTGGAAAATGAAGGGTAAATGCATTGAAAAGTGTGGTGGGAAGACTTTAAGAAATTGGGATGAGTGTTCATGGTCCTATACCTGCCCCACAAAGAAATCTGAATTGGATAGAATCTGATCTCCGTGTGGCAGAACCTTAGATTTGTCCCTCTTGGAAATTCTTTCCTGCTCTGTGCCAGACTCCAAAGCTGGGCTTGGGGCTTATGGGAAACCTAATGCAGAAGCAAGATCTGTAAGGGGGGTGCAAAGAGGCCCTCGTATCCTATCCTTAGGTTGTATATATGTGCAAATAAAACCAGGTATCCTGAAGACTCCACAGTCTCTGCTAACCTTCATTCCCAGAAAACTAAACCCCGGGTAAGGAGAAGCACCCCTGGAGTTTCTTGTTGCACAGAGATTGGGGTGCTGGGTAAGAAAAGGGCACACCCTAGAGGTCAGAGCAATGGCGGATCGTGGCATCTCAAATGGTGGTGCTGCCTGTACGATGCCAAATTCTGGCACCACCTCCCCTTGCCTCACGCTTTCCTCCCCCCCCCCCCAGCTTTATTAATATCCTTGCAATACTATATATATATATATATTATATATATATATATATATATAAACATCTTGTAAAATAGATTAAAGTTTCAATCACATATATACAGACACACAAAAAGGAACATATACCTGTCTTTCTTACATATTTATGAACCTTACGCTTCAACTGTATTATTTTTTTATGTGATAGCCTATGTCCAGCTATGTGCACTGCTACACTTGCAAATAGCCTTAAGAGGAGAAAGGAAGAAGAAGAAGAAGAAGAAGAAGAAGAAGAAGAAGAAGAAGAAGAAGAAGAAGAAGAAGAAAGAAGAGTAGTAGTAGTAGTAGTAGTTTGGATTTGGTATCCCGCTTTATCCACTACCCGAAGGAGTCTCAAAGCAGCTAACATTCTCCTTTCCCTTTCTCCCCCACAACAAACACTCTGTGAGGTGAGTGGGGCTGAGAGACTTCAGAGAAGTGTGACTAGCCCAAGCTGCATGTGGAGGAGCGGAGACGCGAACCCGGTTCCCCAGATTATGAGTCCACCACTCTTAACCACCACACCACGCTGGCTCTCAAGAGGCCTGGCTCTCAAGGGGGGAATTGTTAAAATAATTTTTTAGGATATATTATATAAATGTTCCTAAATGTACCAAGCAAATACATATATAAATATATAAACCACATGTCCAAACCCACAGGAAAAGCCCTAAAGCCATTTTGACTCTTTTACTCACCTCAAATATTTCTCTACAAGGTCGAAGGAAATGCAGAAACCTCCCCACTGTCTCTGTCCTCACAAATCCTGCCTTAAGGGCACATTTAAGGTGTGAATAGGGTGAGACTGCGACCTGGCTCAGGAATGAAGTATTACCATTACAAAAGAATGTCCAGGCTCCCCAGGTAATCCAGTCAAGTGACCATTTACAGGTAACCTGGCAGACAAGGTAAAAACAACGCACTCAGATTTCTGTTGTAGACCGCCTTTTTCTGTGACGTAGGTATGATGCATCTGGGGGGTAGTTTTGGGCCACACCTCTTCTGTGATGTATGTAGGATGTTTCTGGGGTGGTCTTGGAGTCCAGGGTGGGCAATTAAAAATGTCTATGTAAGGGGCCTGCATGTATGGCTCGGGGTCCTCCTCCTCTCCTCCTGCATGTGGGGGAGAACCCTGTTGCAACAGTTAGTAAACAACAGCTTACTGGCTGCTCTGGTTATTCTCTGGTTGGTCTCTGCTATTTTCTCCTACCGATAGAGAACCTACAAAAGGACTGTATAGGGGCTCTTGGGTACCCCATAAGCAAAAAGGAGCAGGTTTTTTTACTCATATCACCTGCAATCATGTGTGGTGGCGTTAGCAATTCACTCCTCCGGTTGCTGGATATGTGGCTAGTATGTCACATGCCTCTATTTATTTTCCTAGGCTTGGAAAGTGTAAGAACGGAAGTCAGTCTTATCTCTTCCGCTCTGCTGTGCTTTTGCCACTGTTCTTTGTCTCCCTGTCTGTTGCTGAGGAAGAGAGAGGATGCCATCATGATCCATTTCGTGTCATCTGCAAATGTGATAGCATCCCCTCATTTCCTTCAACCATGTCATTTATCAAGACGTTGTACAACAACGGGCCCAGGACAGAACCCTGCAGCACCCCTCTGGTCACTTTTCCCCAGGATGAGGAGGACGCATGAAGGAGTCCTCTTTGGGTTCAGTCAGTCAAATCCACCTAACAGTTACCTCATTCAGCCTCATTTTACCAGCTTCCTCACATAAATATCACAGAGGACTTTCTCAAAAGCCTTACAGAAATCGAGGTGCACTACTTCCAAAGCAGCTCCCTGATCAACAAAGTTTGTAACTCCATCCAAAATAGAAAAGTAGAAAAGGAGAGATTTCTCTGGGCTTGTCTTTTTTTTTTTGAGAATGACATGCTTTCATCCTGTATGTTTATATTGTAAAATCTTCAGATGGAGGGCAAATAAATTTTAAAAAGCATAAATGAGGATATTGACAAGCTGGAATATGTGCAAAGGGAGGCAATTTATGTATTTATTTAATTGGGAAACCACCCCACCCAGTGGTGCCGAATGAATAAAATATTGGTGGGGGGCCTTGCACAATCAATCACATGATGCATGCATGCCATTTGAATGGCAATGCCTATAATGGCAGTGACTTTTTAAAAAAGTAATATTTTGAGCCCCTATTTCAATTTCCAAGCAGATTCTTTCCCTTTCTCTTGGTCTCCTGGGGGGGGGGGTGAGTCCTGGGTCCCCTGCACAGTCTTGGCTCTCTGGAAATGTCACAGGGCCAGCCCACTTTCCCTTTAAAGCAAACTTGGGTCTCCGGCTGTTTTTGGACTACAACTCCCATCATCCCTAGCTAGCAGGACCAATGGGGAGGGATGCTGGAAACTGTAGTCCCTGGTGCTGCTTGGGACCCATGTATGGGAAAGCCTCCTTTAAAGCAACTTTTGCGTTTGGCCCGCAAAGATGGGACCTGTCCACTTTTGTATTTCTCGTATTTTGTTTTTCTCATGACCTTTGTGCGGTTTTTAAAAATTTCTTAAAGGGCAAATTGAAAGCGAAATGGAATGGCAAGTTGCGAAAGAAAAAAAGGTTGCATTTGAAAAAACAGACAAAGAAAACCTGGGGGGTGGCCTCCTCAAATATTTTATGGGGGGGGCGCAAAGACCCAAGGAATTTAAGAGTGGCTGTATTCCCTACACCCACAGGTCTCAGGAGGCTTAGAACATAAAAACACAACATAAAAACACAAAACATCACATGTTAAAATAGCATTAGATGTCATTAAGAAAAAGGCCTGGTTAAAACAGTGTGGATTTGCCAGGCTCCTAAAGCTGTATAATGGTTTTTCCAATCTTTGTATGGATTCTTTGATGGGAAGTGAGTTTAGAGGTAACAGTGAAGCTCTTTCCACATTCTGCACACTGATAGGGTTTCTCCCCTGTATGAATTTTTTGATGGGAAGTGAGATTGGAGCTCTGACTGAAGCTCTTTCCACATTCCATACACTGATAGGGTTTCTCCCCTGTATGAATTCTTTGATGGGAAGTGAGATGGGAGCTCTTACTGAAGCTCTTTCCACATTCCACACACTGATAGGGTTTCTCCCCTGTATGAATTCTTTGATGGGAAGTGAGATCAGTGCTCTGCCTGAAGCTTTTTCCACATTCCACACACTGATAGGGTTTCTGCCCTGTATGAATTATTCTATGGTAAGTGAGAGAGGAGCTATGAGTGAAGCTCTTTCCACATTCCACACACTGATAGGGTTTCTCCCCTGTATGAATTCTTTGATGGGAAGTGAGATTGGAGCTCTTCCTGAAGCTCTTTCCACATTCCACACACTGATAGGGTTTCTCCCCTGTATGAATTCTTTGATGGGAAGTGAGATCAGTGCTCTGCCTGAAGCTTTTTCCACATTCCACACACTGATAGGGTTTCTCCCCTGTATGAATTTTTTGATGGAAAGTGAGATCCGAGCTCGTACTGAAGCTTTTTCCACATTCCACACACTGATAGGGTTTCTCCCCTGTATGAATTCTTTGATGGGAAGTGAGATGGGAGCTCTTACTGAAGCTCTTTCCACATTCCACACACTGATAGGGTTTCTCCCCTGTATGAATTCTGTGATGGGAAGTGAGAGAGGAGCTCTGACTGAAGCTCTTTCCACATTCCACACACTGATAGGGTTTCTCCCCTGTATGAATTCTTTGATGGGAAGTGAGAGCGGAGCTCTGACTGAAGCTCTTTCCACATTCCACACACTGATAGAGTTTCTCACCTGTATGAATTTTTTGATGGAAAGTGAGATTGGCGCTCTGCCTGAAGCTTTTTCCACATTCCACACACTGATAGGGTTTCTGCCCTGTATGAATTTTTTGATGGAAAGTGAGATTGGCGCTCTGCCTGAAGCTTTTTCCACATTCCACACACTGATAGGGTTTCTCCCCTGTATGAATTCTGTGATGGGAAGTGAGATTGGAGTTCGTACTGAAGCTTTTTCCACATTCCACACACTGATAGGGTTTCTCCCCTGTATGAATTCTTTGATGGGAAGTGAGATTGGCGCTCTGCCTGAAGCTTTTTCCACATTCCACACACTGATAGGGTTTCTCCCCTGTATGAATTCTGTGATGGGAACTGAGAGAGGAGCTACGAGTGAATCTCTTTCCACATTCTATGCACTGATAGACTTTCTTTCCAATGATATTTTGTTGATGGGAAGTGGAACGGGAGTTTTGACTGCAGCTCTCTCCACACTCCAAATTTTTACGTGGCTTCTCCTCCCTGGGGATTTTATCGTGGTCACCTTTGTTCTCAATTTCTGATTCATCACAATCTGCAATGGAGACAAAAGGGATTAGAGCCTTAGGAACAAATAGAGAAGAACTGAAGGGAGTTGGTGTGTGTTCATTACCCGTGTTGTTTGTCATTAACCAACATATTTATTATAAGATTCTGATGAGTTGTTGAATGTTGCTTTGTTTGATATAAAGTTGTGGTTAAAATTGTGGAAGACTTTTGAAAAAAGTGTAGTTCTTCTTTTGGAGTAATATTATAAATTTATATATCAATGGAAAGATAATTTGATCAAGAATGCAATCAAGAATGCAATCCAACAAAGTTTGTTCAATTACCTATATTTTACCAAACCTTATAGCCAAATAACCAGAAAAAGGAAGCACAACTTGCTTAGGTTGCCTTTTGTCAGTGTCTTATGTGATTGCTATCAAGTTGGTCATTTAGTGAGGTTGAAAAACATAATCAAATTAAAGAAATGGCACAAAGAGTTGACTAATCACCCAGAAAGTGATGTAAAATTGTACTATTAAGTGAACAAGGCTACAGTTATGAAGAAATTAGATGAAAGATTGGGAAAAACTACACCAAAGCTGGCCTTTCTATATTTTTGAAGAGGTATAAGGAGACTCAGTCACTACAAAATCAGAGTGATAAAGGCAGGAAAAGGTGCACAAAGGCAAGTGACGATCGAAGAAAGAAGAGACTGTGCCTACATGACAGAAGAATATCATCTGGGTGGATACAAGATGACATGGTACAATGCAATATGAAGTTGAGTGCAAGGACTGGTCTAAGATTAAACCCATGTTAACTGGACAGCAGATCAATGGAACAGTGTTATTTGGAGCAATGAGACCCAAATCTCCTTGCTTGGTAGTGATGGCATGAAATACCCGAGAAGAATCAGATAAGATTTACATCCTACTTGCATTACACTGACCATGAAACACCCAGACAGTGTGATGATCTGGGGTTGTATGGCAGCAAAAGGTGTGGGCAGAATTTGCATCATTAATGGGAATATAAATGCTCCAAAATGCATAAACAAATACTTGAGCCCAAACTGAAGTGTTCCGCAGTAAAACTTTTCCTGGCAGCAGGTTTGCATGTATCTTGGGCCAATTTCTTTGCTCATTAAAGCTGGCTGATCGACTATAACTCAAAGGTTTTTATCATCTTCAAACCTGTAGGCTTTCGTACCACTTTCATACCCAAGAAATAGCAACTGCTGTGCCCTTTTCCCACCTTTTCTTCGGTTTTTCACAGGTATGTCAAACCCATGCCTTTGTCCCAAAGATTCTCAAATGTTGCAAACTGGGACTTTTGTTATAGAGAATTTTATAGGGTATGTCATCTAGTACCCTTGACCACAAGCGATTCCCAATATAATTTGCGGTCTTAATACTCTCAGCCCAGTACTTAATTGGAAGATTTGCATCTGCTAACAATGCTTTCATTTGTGTCTGCAAGACACCTCCCCTGCGCTCTGCTACTCCGTTCTCCTGAGGCCGTGGCCACATTGGTAAGCCTATGTTTAATCCCTTGGGAACGCAACCAGTTTTCTTAGGGAGCTTGCCATAAACTCCCCTCCCCTGTCTGATTGAATAGAGGACACCTTTTCACCAAGTTGCCTTTCTACCCTTCTTACCCAGAACTTTCAAAGTTTGGGGCAACGTCAGACTTCTGCTTTAATGGATAGACCCAGCCAAATCTAGAAAAATCATCCACTAGGATTAAACAGTATTTGTTGTGGGAGACACTAGGTGGAAAAGGACCAGTTACATCAGCATGGATCAACTCCAGTGGTTTTTTGGTTTCTCTCTGGCTTGCTCTTGCTACCGGGCAAGCCCTGCTTTTAACCTCCTTGCAGATATTGCAGTCTAAGTAATTATCACAACTTTTTATGTTCTTCATCCCCCCACACAACTCCAATGTTTTGTTTAGCACCTTATAGCTAGCATGAGCCAGACGCCTGTGCAGGAGATGAATACACATATCATGGGTCGGGACATTTTGCACATTTGCAACCTTAGATTCACACTGCAGTACATACATATTAGTTCTAAGGCTAGCATTTGCCAACACTGCCCCATTTTGCTTTATCTGGCACTGGTCTCCCACAAAATTTACTTCAAAGCCTGCTTTTGCCAAATCAGGAATGCTCAGGAGATTGTTTTGCAAACTAGGCACACACAATACATTCCTGAATGTGTGTCCCAGCTGTGGGAACACAACCTCCCCCTCACAAACCACATTAGCTTTCTGGCCCGTAGCAAGACTTACATGTTTTTTGTTTGAAGCCCTAGCATCAGTTAGCAGTCCTTTTCTTTTACAAAAGGTTTGAGAAGCTCCACTGTCCAGAACCCACAGCTCTTCATTTTCTTGACCATCTGCAGACACCCAAGCGGTAGACTCCCTCTGCTGCCCCTTGTGCTTCCGCTGTTTTTGTTGTTTTCTTGGGCAGTCCCGCAGCAGATGTCCACTGGACTTGCAGCAAAAACACCTTTTTACTTTGTTGACCACCGGCTGGTCTGCAGCAGCTCCTCCTGGCTGTTTCTCCGGCTCCCGACACCTCTGCTCTTCCCGGCTGTTGTTCCCTCTGGGATGCTCCAACAGCTGGGCTGAGGTCATCTTTCGCTCTGCACGCCTGTCCTCCTCTGCATACAACCGTCCGGTCACGTATTCCAGAGTCAGTTTATCAGTCTCTACAGACTCTAGGGAGTTGACCAGCATATCATAGCTGTCATCAAGGGAACTCAGGACTATAAAGACTTTGTCCTCTTCCCCCACAGGCCTCCCTCTTAAGGCTAGCTCCTGGAAACAGCCTGTTAGGAATTTTAGGTGGTTTACCAGGGAGTCCCCTGGTTTCTTCCGACACCGGTACAGTCTCCTGGTCAGTGTTATCAGTGAGCCAGCTGTCTCTCGCACATGGACAGCCTTGAGCGCATTCCACGCCTCACTTGCCGTCACCTTATCAGCTACGTAGACTAGCTGGCTGTCGTCCACTCCAAGGATGATCGTAGCCAAAGCTTTCTCATCCTTTTCAAGCTGGGCCTCTGCTAGTGCCAGCTTTTCATCGTCGTCCTCATCCTCCTCAGGGGGCTGCGGTGGAGTTTCCACCACCTTCCACAGGCCCTCACGCTTGAGGAAGTGTTGCATGCGGACTGACCAGATGCTGTAGTTCGTGGCCGTCAGCTTCTCCAGCAACATGCCAGTTCTGGACTGCTCCATCCCTGCAGCTCACCTCCAGCACCCACGGCTAGATAACTGCCACCTGTACTCTTGCGCAGCGGAAGCGTGCTGGGCCCATAACCCTGTCGCGTATTCCACGCGGCGTTTTCAGCAAAGCATTAAGAGTTCCAGGTTTTTCAGTGCAGTCCTTTTTAATGTGAGCTTTATACAGGTATTTACAAAAGAAACAGTCCATACAGAGTACTTACAAACGAATACTCTCCACGACAGCACCACCACACTACAGCACAACCACCACACTACAGCACAACCACCACACTACAGCACAACCACCACACACCCTGTTAAACAGGCTTTCCTTTTTAAAACAGGTGATAGCCAATTACACTAATCACACTCCTGCTGAGTCACTCTGACCCAGCAGAGTATTGCATCATCCTGTTGAAGCCTGCAGACTTATCCAGTATCCTGCGAATCCCAACACCCATTGCGTAAATAATGTATGTAAAGCAGACATTGTGGGGGAACTTCTATTCCTCCTCAACACTATGAGCTGAATAAAGAGCATGAAATCCACTCTCGACTCCTAGTATATTTCATTACTGGTTGTTAAGGTCTCGAGCAAAGGTGCGCTCTTCCAAGCCCACATTCCCAGCAGGTTCACACTTCTGTCTCGGCGATGTCTGCGCAGGCTTGGTCATATGCACAGAATGGAAGATGGCAGGATCCCCAAGGACATGCTGTATGGGGAGCTGGCTTCATGTGCCAGGCCATTGACGGACCAACTCTGCATTATAAAGATGCGTGCAAGTGTGACATGAAGGCGGCAACATGAACCCAGCCTTATGGGGTTAGAGACAACCAACAGTGCCTGAAGACAGTAGATCAAAGTTGTGTATCCACAGCAATGACCACATGCCTTCATCTGCCCCAGATGCAACAAAACATGTCTCTCCCGTACCATTCTCTACAGCCACAGCAGGCGCTGTAACCCTCCAGTGGTTTGACTTCACTTCTGAAGGCATACTCTTCCATTGTCTCCCGAGACAGATGGATGACAACAATTAAGATCTCATGAGAATCGGAGAACCTGGGAGTGGAGGTGGAGCCTGGGAATTCAGGGGTGCGTCCCGTGATTTATTTATTAAATTTGTATCCCATCCTTCTTCCCAAAAGATCCCAGGGCGGCAAACATCAAAATATTAAATTAGTACAATTTAAAATAAAAAATGATAACTGGTACAAGCAGGCATGGATTGCACCAGGCAGATCAGAGAGCAAAGTTTGGCACAGGGGCATCTGAGGCAAACCACAAAATGGTGCCCCTCGCTCCTCACCAGGCAAGAATAGGTGAGTGAAGATTTACATCAGGAAGAAGAGGGGAATGAAGATCTGCTGCCCCCGGGGATCCTGCTGCCTGAGGACACGGCCTCTCCTTGTCTCATGGGTGGGCTGGCTATAGGTGTTGGGTTAAGTGCTAAGAGAATGCCCACTAGGTGAGGACGCTAGTTTAGCTGTTAAGCAAAAGGGGTTTCAGTCACCGGCTTCCCCCACACAAATCAAACATGGGGGTCAGACCAGCAAGAAGCAGTTACTGCTGCAGCATATAGGCTGTAGGTGAGATTCCATACATAGGTCATCCTATTCACTTCTGATAAAGACAGCCACTTTCTCTGTCAATACTGGGACATGATTTAT